CCTCTTACATGTCTAATCATGCAAAAAAGAAACAAATCTGAAACAGAAGCAGGCTGAATGATCTGCATTCTTTGCGATTAAAAATAAACAGTGGAACTTTCCCAGGAGCAATTTTCTATTTATCTTGTTTTCTTTTGTCCTTACTCATTAAATTATATGCCAATTTTTAGATGATGAACTCCTCAGAGCATGGTTCTTGACTTCTTACTAGCCCGCAGAATGCCACGTATGCCAACAGAACTGTATAAATAATGGCAGATATTGGATCTGAGAAAATCTATGTCAGAAGATCAGAACGTAAAAAAGCCCTCACTTCTGGCAACTGGGAAAAAAGCTTCAGCCTTTCTCAGATCTCAGCCAAAGTCTTAACAAATTAAGTCTTCCAAAGCTGTTGGAAGAAATGGGCCCTTGCCAGTATTAGCTCCTGAGTCAATAGAAAGCAAGCCACTAACTTCAGTGCAAGAGGGAAGACATTGGCCAAATGTGGCTGTTATTAAAGGGCTCATTCCTCTCATTTGTCCTATGACATGAGCCATCATTTGTGCCTTTGTAGAATGAGTGAAAAAAACTGTTCTATTGGAATAGCAGTGTGATATATTCCATTTTCGTGGGGGTAAATGACTATGCAAAATGTCTGTGAAAAAATCCATCCTTTCTGTAGTACACCCAACAGCCCAAAGTCTCCCTTAGTACTTGATGATATCAGCCCACAGACCTTCAGCATGGTGCTTGGTGCTTTCCAGTGAACAGGCTGCATTATCCTCAAACAGTTCATGTGATACTTTCTACCTATATGAGGGTGTTGGTGGCATGGTAAGACTGCAAAAAAGTGTTAGGCTGTACCTTTGCCCTGTTTTGTGTATGCTTATCTTTGTAAAAGTCTTCACTCCTTAGATTTCCTTTCTTTTTCTGATCTTGCCACTTATGACTCAACAGCTACTCACTTTTGGAGTTTCAACTCTGCCACAAAAAACCTTCTGTTAATTGATCTTATTGGAATATTTTACCAGTTTCATCATGTTACATCTTTTAGAGCAAGGTTCTGCCCACGTGCAGAGGGCTTACGTGAGGTTTCCGTAGCATATTTGCCCCGATAGTATCTGTGCAAAGGTTGATAGTTACTATGACCCTGAACTCAGTTTTTGTAAAACTTGTGTGGCTGACAGGCTTGGACCCCTCTATTTATAAAAAAAATAAAAAATTACAGCGTGAAGAGGTTTCCTTTGCTGGTTTGCTTGGCAGCATGACTGAAGTCAGGGAGTGCTGCAGGAGCAAGAGACTGTCTAATGCGTATCTGTAGCTGAAGTGCTCAAGGAATCCAAAAGACCTGAAGATTTCAGGAGGCTTTTTTCTAAGTTATCCCAAAATGATCACATCCATGTTCAAAACATTTGCTTTAAGGACAAGCCAGGTATATAAGTGGACCTATTTTCAAAAGAAAGGAGCAAGCAGTAGGACTGCTCTAATAATGTGCAGTGAATATTTGCCTGCGTTGACAGCACAAAAGTATAGTTCACAGGAGTTGTTAAACTCCAATTTCAAAAGCAGAAGAACTTCTGCTGTTCTGCTATTTTCCTTTTTTTGTTAATCAGAATCTGCAACAGCCCTGACAGATACTAATGATTACAGTGACACATCAGATGCTGGGGGAAGCAGTTCTGCACTTTAGAGGCAGCAGTTATAATTCAAAAAAATATCTCTCATAGATCATAGTATTTATTCTTCAGCAAAAAGTAATATTTTTTTAGGCCAGTCAGTCTTTTATTGTTTCCACTGTTTTCTTTAGAGTACCAAAAACATACAGAGAGAGGATTATAGCTGATGGAGGTTTTGTATGCCCTTGCACTTGCTGCAGCCCCACCGAATGGTCAAACTGGGTTTCTCCTGCATTCATAGGCAATAAACCTTTTTCCAGTGTCAACTCTTTTGGAGCAGGAACTAACTTTTATTCTTGTAGATTATGCAGCAATCAAGTGTATAATTGGTTCTAAAGTAATAGGAGTTATGTT